AATTTTGCACCAGTTGTGGAGCCCCTGAAGGGTTGCTCTCTCTCGCCCCCTTTCTGCCGGTTTGGTCATCAGGAGGTTGTGGGGCATTTTGATCAAAGCTTTGCTAGAGTCTGGAGAGATGATGCCCACAGCATTCCCACGGTCCCTTTGGGGAGTTACCCAGTCAGAAAACGGAATTAGATTAGTCTGGCAGAATTTGTTCTTGAGTAATCCCTGTTGGCTTCTGGTAATTACTGCATTGTCTTCAAGGTGTTTGTAAACGGTTTCTTTTATAATTTGCTGCAGAATTTTTCCAGGGATCAATGCCGGAGCAACCGGTCTGGAGTTCCCAGGTTCATTTTTCCCCTCTCTTGAGGATAGGGACCACATTCTCCCCTCTCCGGTCCCCTGGCACTTCTCCTGCCTTCCATGAATTCTCAAAGATGACAGATCAGGGTCCTGGGAGTTCTTCCGCCAGCTCCTTTATGACATCAAATGAGTATAATGTTATTTATTTGCTTTAATAAATAACAGTGCAATCCGAGCCCCCCCCCCCAACCTTCTGAACCAGGAAGGTTAAGGGTACCCCGTCGTGTGCAGCAGGAGCACAGAGAGGAAGGTCAACCCAGCGCTTCTCCCCATAAAAATGCTTAGATGGCCAGCGGCAGCCCTGCCAGGAGAGGAGGTCGGGGGCGGCCGGACCCTGCACCTGCCAGCAGGACCCCCCTCCTTGCCTCCTGGCCCTCCCCACCACCAAACCCCCGCCCTGGAGGCCGCTCTCCTGACTTCAGGGCAATGGCCAGCGCAGCCACGGGGGGGGGGGGGGGCACGCTCCAGGCCCAGTCCCAGCTCTGCCCTGGGAGCCAGGTGCCGAGGAGGAGCCGGGACCTGGAATCGCCTTTTGCCACCTATCGCCTGCCTGGCAGCAAGAAGACGGCCTGTGGAACCCAACCCCAGGCACGTTTGGGGAACATGTGGAGCCTAGGAGGCACACCTGCTGGGGGGGCGGGGGCTGCTTGCATCTGGGGGCACAGGCACCTGCATCGCCCCCGGAGCCACGCCCCCCCTGCAGCGGCGCTCTCCCTCCAGCTCTCCCTCTCTCCCGCCCGCCTCGTGCGCGAGGCTGTTCGGCAGCCGCGTGTTTGCCGCGAAAAGCTGGCCGGGCCAGGTGTGTGGCAACACCTTTGCGCTGGGGGGGCCCCTTGCCCTCGGGGACGTCAGGTGTGCTGCCCCCTGCCAAGGAGACGGAGCAGAGATCTCTGCATCGATGTCCGTGCTCCTTTGCTGGAGCTTCCTGGAGTCAAGCTGGCCAGAGACTGCCCCGAGAAGATGAAGGCACAGTCGGAGGGCCTCCTGGGCCCCCAGCACTGGGCCCCACCCGCGTCCTGCCCAAATGCAAATCCAGATGAATGGCAGCCCGCTTGCCGGGCGCCCAGCAAAGCCGTGGCAACAGCGGTCGCCCCCACCGTGCGCCTGTCATCCGTCGGGGCAGAACGGCTGCACACCCGGCGGCGCCTGCGTGCGTGCGTGCGTGGCGGAGAGGCAAGCCAGTGGCGGGCTGGCAACCCGTCCTGCTCCGGAGGGTCGGTCGGAGTGGCAGGGGACGCCACGGCGCCGAGCGGCATGGCTCGCGCGGTCCCCCGTTCGGCCAGCAGGGGTCGCGTTTGCTCAGCTTTGGCTCCACGCTGGAGCCCTGCAGGGCTCCGCCATTACGGCCCGATCGATCGGGGCCGGGAGAGGGGCAGGGGCGGGGGCAGCCTGCTGCTTGGCCCGGCTGCTGCCCGCGCGTGCATCTCACACGGGATGGTTGTGCAATTAATGGAAGCATCCCAAGCAGGTGTCCCTGCAAACAGGGTGCTTGCAGTGCTAACATGCAGCTCGCCCTCGGAATGGGCCTGGCTGTTCAGAGGCGTGCCAGCCGCGCTCTCCAGGAGTAATTTGGGATGTGGGGTTCCTTTTCTGGCATGCGGGAGGAGCTGCAGAGCAGGCTCTGCGCTGATCATCAGCCCTTCCTAAAATATATATGGCGCAATAAAGGACGACGGGGTAAGCCAGCGCGGAGGCAGCGGGTGCTCCAGGCAAGTGCTCGGCCGCCAGAGAGGCTCTGTGGCTGCGATTGAGAAGCGTGCACCCCGTAAAGAGGGGGCGCCACGAAGCAGGAGGGCAAGAGCCTTCCTGCGCATCTTAGCGGTGCGAGCAGAAGCCCCGGCGTCGTTTATCCAGTCGCGCCCTTTCCTAAATGAGGTCATATTTCATGTGTGTGAAAGACTTTCAGGGTGAACTAGGAAGACATCTATCAAGACGGGGATCTGCAGTGACTGGCGGGTTTGTTCGATTTGTTAAGAGGTCGATTTTACCCGGAGGGGGAAGACCTGTGCAGGCACCAACACTTCCATGCTGCCGGAGCATCTTCTGGGCCTGCATAGTAGGTGCCAGCAGAGGACTGCCCCTTCGGAGAAGCCCGACCGCTATCTGAAGGTCTGCCAGGAGTGTCCTCTGCTTTCAGGGCTGCTTCTGCTGGGGGGCTGCCTTGTCTTAGTCCCATTTAATGCTGAAGAACTTTCGCAAGGACGAGCAGAACGGCGTCCGGGACAGTGGGCTCCAAGCAACGCGGGTCCCCGGTTCTGGCTGGGTTTCTGGACAAAGTCTTAGAGTTCTTTCTTTCCAAGTTTGCACTGCTGCACATAAACAGCCATGTACAGAAGTTATGCGCATTGGTGCCCGAGTGTGGTCCAGCCACAGATTTGTATGCAGTGAGTAGAATCCTGGCAGCGTTGTTCTTTGTCCCTCTCCTACGGATGGAGAACCTGGACTCCACCTTCCCTTTCCGCCACTCAGTGGGTTGATATTTCCAGGGAGCTGTTCACCACCACACAAGAGCTCTGCCTTGGTCAGTCCCCGGGAGCTCAGATCCCATCAGCCTGTGCTAGAAGCTGGGACTTGTTGCCCCAGGATGTTTGCTTGCACTGAGCCGCGGATGCCGGCTGTCCCAGCTGGAGCTTCTCAGAATCCATTTTTGTTTTAACCACCCAAAATAGTTTCGTGTCTCCAGGAAGCCCGGCCACTTCACTGCAGACTCCTTAACACATCGGGCTGCAAACCGCAGTCTTCCATCTTGCATGAAAGTCTGCGCGGATTTTATTTAATTCCTTTGTCCATAGTCCGCGCCTTCAGCCCTTTCTGGGGATTTCATTTCTATCCTCTGGCCCTCTTTGTTGTTCTCCGGTTTATCGGACTCCTGCTCCAACGGCAGTGCTTCAGACAGAACGTGTGTCTGCATGCGAATGCGGTTTCTTTCCTGAGCCGTTTAAGAAATGAAAATGTAAACAGTTGAGTCTCATTCCTCTGCCTCAAATTCTTCACCAAATTGGTAATTATGGAAACAAACGAGGCTTTGAGACGTGACATTTCTTATCCATCAGGAAGGGAAGCGTTTTCCCACCATCTGCTAGAGTGGCGTCCCCGGTTCCTTTCCCCACTTGCAAGCCGTCAGATAATTGCTGCGTGTCTCTCAGTATTTATGGCAAAGTGTATGAGGTGTTAAGCAAACTCACAAAATATCTGCTCAACATTTGGAGCGTGTGGGGTTTTAGTTCTCATCTGCACAAAGAGGCTCTCAGTCACATGTGAAGGTTGGGGTACGTGAGCAGCCTGGCGACGGCCGCAGGGCTGGGGGCGGGAGTCGCCGCTCGCCCGCAGGCTCCCAGGCAGGCTGCCCTCCCTGAGCCTCAGTCCTCCTCCTGCAGCGGGGGAGACCGCGCTGTGTGACCATGCAGGGCTGCTGTTAGGACTGACGTGGCAGTTGTGCATGAAGCCCTCTGAAGCATGCTTCGAGGGCTAAGGGTACCCAGAGGGTGAAATCGGGGGGGGGGGGGCGTGCATGCGCGGGAGGGCCAGTGTTGCAAGCGGGCACGGCGGGACACCTGGCACGAGGCTTGCTGTCCTTCCAGAGTTCACCAGACAACACCTCGGTGCTGCCCCAAGAGCAGTGCTCTGATACCGCCACCTTGCCCCTTCCCGGTTTCGCAGGCTGCCAGCCGGGCCGTGCGGCAAGGGAGGGGACCGCACCTGCCCTTTCTGTTAGTCCAGAAAGCTCCACTCCCATCCTCCCCAGCTCTATCCACCCCACTTACTCTCAGGGCGGCAGCCGGAGCAAAACACAGGCAGCAGCTTCTGCTCTGCATTCTGCGTTCCCAGAAACCTGAGCATGGATGAACTTGGCGGAATCGGTTCCTTTTGCATTCCTGGATTTTCACGCTCCTGTTGCCCTGTCCTCTGCAGATGTTGTAGGCATCTGCACAAATTTGTACTTTGGAAGTCGTTCGTATCCCCCCTAATTTGCAACCCCCTCTGACATATTTGCATGTTCACATTCGGGACTCCTGGGGGAAGCCTGCATTTTCGGTCAGTGGGTGTTTTCCATATTTTTCTGTGACTCGAGTTGCATAAAACCACAGGAAGCAAAACCGAATGCTTGATGTGTACGTAGAACTGGTGAGCTTAGGAGAATCCGGTCCCTTGAGGGATGTGCAGGTTCGTGAGCATCCAAACGGACTGGGGCCCAATGATCCCCCCCCCCCCCCGGAGCTCTCCCCTCCTGGACCGCTGCGCCCTGCTTGCTCCCCGAGCCCGGAGGATGGAGGTGGCGAGGGCCACAGCACGGCCTGCTGGGTCTCCTTGCTGCCCTGGGGTCCACCAGCCATCGTGGCATCCACGATGAGAAGGCGCCGCTGTGGGCAGTAACCCTGGGCGTGAGACTTTGGGGTCACTCAGGAAGGGGCCCAGGGAGGCTGCCTTGCCCAGGGCCCCCAGAGCCCGGGAAAGGAGCTCACTGGATGCTGAGAATGCCGGGTCAGGTTGCAGTGATACCCCGGAAATGAAGTTCTGGATCTCAGCTGGGGCAGAGGAGTTAAAATGGCGAGGGGGGGGGAGCAGCGGCAGCTGGAATCCGGACGCCCCGGCGCTGTTTGCCTCTTTCGGTCCCTCTCGCCTCAGGCCGCCCTCCGCTGTCTTCCCTGCAGGCAAGGCATATGCCCCGGAGTTCTACTACGACACCTATAATCCGTTGTGGCAGAACCGGGCCCGGGTCTACGCCTACAGCCTTGAATGGACCCAGATGAACCCGGATGCCGTGGACCGCATCCTCCAGTACCACCTGGGAATCCGGCAGGTAAGCGTTTTGGCGTGCTCTCGGAGGAACCTGCTGCCCAGCTCGGCCGCCTTTGCTCTCCCTTCACCTTGACGTGCGGTTAGGCACTGTGCTTCCGTTGGGCCGTGCCGCCGTGCTTTTCAACGGTGCGTCACCCGAGAGATGAACCGGCCCCTTTCTTGGCCGCAGAGCCAGGCAAAAGGGCTGCTTGCCTTCATCCGGCAATGGGGACATTCAGCCGTGTGAGGCATGTGGGAAAGACCGGGCTGAGCTGCCCGGGACGCGCACAGATTCTCAGCCGAGGACGTGAGGGAGGCTGGGCGAGAAACTTCCGGAGTGGCAGAAGCCGCCTCTTGGGCCCCGTGCATTTTGGAGATAGGTTTTCCTGCAGGCAACGGGGGCTCCAGTGGCTTGTGCCTGACAGAGCCCCCTGACCGGGGGGGGGTGCTACTGGAAATTAACAGCCTCAGTGGCCCTGTTTCAGTGTACCCCAAAGCTCCCAGCCTCCCCCCTCCTTTAGATGGCCCCCTGTTCTGCCCCCTGCTGCTGTTTCCTTGCGGTTTGTACGCTGCACCCCGTATTTGAGTTCTGAGCCCCATCCCTTATTCCGGGCTCGGCAAACTCCTTTCTGCTCGAGGGCCACATTCAGCGTGGGAGAAGCTCTCTGGGCATGTGCCAGGGTGGGCAGGAGCGAAGGCAAAGCGGGCAACAGAACCCCCCCCCCCAGTTTAAGCCCAAAGCCTTTGCTGGCAGCAAAGAAGCCCCGGTGCCAGCAGCTGGGGGCGGGCAGAGTTGCGGGGAAGAGGTGCAAAAGCCAGGGAAGCACCCGAGGTTCAGGGCCAGGGAAGGTGAGGGGGCCGGCGCTGGGATTAAGGCCAGGGTGGGGCTCTGAACCAGACCCACACGCTCCCTGGGTGCAGATCTGCTCTCTGCATGGGAGACCGAGGCCCCCCCGGCCCCAGGGGGCTTCTGCTTCAGCAGCGGCACTGCCTGATCAGCCTCCCCTTTCCTGGATCGGAAAGACTCAGCGAAGCCGTTCCAGTTTGGCAGGAAGGAGCGAAAAAGCCGGTGTCTGTTCGTGCCTGCGAGGTCGGGTGAGTCAGAGGCCCACCCGCTGCGCCAGGACCCGCAGGAGAGGGCCGTGGGGCTTCCATCCCGGGCTGCGTCTCCCGGGGGGCCCGGAGAGGCCCGTTGGAGCCGCTGCCAGCCGGGCCTCACCAGGGCTGGGGCCCAGGTCTGCCGGGGCGGCTTCCAGCGCTCGCTCTCACGGTACGGAGATGCGGCCGGGCAAGGGGGCCGCGCTCCGCCAGGCCAGGCCGCTGCAGCCGCCGGCGTGGAAGGGCTCCCCGGGCGTCCGCGTGCTCGGCGCCAGCGTGTGCAGGAGAGGCCGACAGAGAAGTGAGCACGCAACGGGAAGCTCCGCTTGCCATCCGTGCGGTAAAAGCCTCTACAAGCGCAACATCAAGTGGAATTATTCAGGCATTATGCGCTGCTCCTCTGGTTTCCGTTTGGCCTCACTAATCGGGGAGCGCAGAGCGGGCACCCCCCCGGGCCCGCCTACCTGCCTCGGTCTTGGGCGGAGAGGAGCTGCTGGAGGTGCACGGCGCTCCCCTCCCGGCGCCGCTGTTCTGCACGGGGCACGATTAAGCCCTCGCTGCGGGCCCCTGCGAGTGGCGCATCCTGCCGAGGCGGCTCGAGGGGCCCGCTCGGCACGGCTGGCCAGGCCTCCGGATCGGGGGGGCCGTGCTCTGTCCCCGTGATCGGCACGCGCTCGCCCGGCAAGCGGCTTTGGAGGAGCCGACATGCTCCTGATGGGGCTGGCTGTGCGCGGCTCCACCACGGTGGCGGCGTTTGGGTGGCGTGGCGTTGGCTGTGACATGGGGGGGGGCATTTTGGAACCGTTCGGGGCACATCTCTGGCAGCTTGCGATAGCCGAACTGGTCCACGAGGACAAGCAAATTTGCAAAGTTTTTATCCGTCGCATTTCAACAACGTACTCGCTGCTCTCCTGGAAAGGATGCGGAGGTCGGTTCAAGCCGCTGCATGATGAATCTGTAATAAATGGAGCAGGAGAGAGGTAATTAGCATCAAGTATTGACTTGTTCATTGATTGCCAAATTAATTTCCTCTATGTTAAAAAAAAAAAACGGCTTGAGCATCCTAATAATTAGTGCAGTGAGCTCACTGAAGCTTTCCCATTAGCTGGCTTGCTTGCAGCCGCTTAACGAATTTGTTAAATTTAAATAAACATGCATATTAACATTTCAGCTGATGATCCATTAAAAGGGGCTGCCCTCTTTTTAAGGCCGGGGTGCGCTGCCTTCTGGGCTGTGGGGCCGCCCTGACCCCCGAGGGTCCCACAGAGGGGCACAGGCGTGAGTGGGGCAGGGGTGCTTAGGCCCAGCGCGCTCCCTGTCTCTCTCGCGCTCACGCATGCATGGCGGTGTCCTTTCGGAGCCCCCCGCATCGTCTTGCCTTCCCCCACAGGGATCAGGCTCAGGGAACTGGGGGCCGGGGGGGGGGGCTGACTGCGCCCTCTTGCACTCGTCCTGCATGTCCCCCTGCAATTAGCAGAGAGGAGCCAACGACACGAACGGCGCTCATGTTATTTGCGCCCAAAACCAGGCCGAAAATGCCCCCCACCCAACCCGGCAAAGCGAGCAAGCACAAAAATGGTGAGCAGCCTCTTTCACCAAAAAACGGGGGGGGGGGGGGCAAAGGTCCCCTCTTCTGGGCTTGCGGTTGTGGTCATGAAGTCCACCTTTTCCCCGAAGGACGCCTCTTCGTGGCCCACGTAACATGGGGGAAGCACGTGCCTGGGCACACACAGACCCCCAAGCGCGCCTCCCCCGGTTCTGAAAGAGAAGCCCCCCGCCTGCACAAGGACACGGCGGAAGGCGCACGGTGGGTGGGAGGCCAGCCACGCCAGCCTGCCGCTCGTCCCTCTTGTGCGGCCGCACCGGGACCTGCTCCCGGCGGGCAGGAAACGTGGCCGGGCCGCCCGCCAGGTGTCCCGGGCGCAGGGAGCCCGTGTCCAAGGGCCCCCCACCGGTGTGGTAACGGCCGGCGTGTTGGCGACGGCACGGTGGGGTGGGCGCCGCAGCCGCTGGCCCGTGCCACCGGGGGAGCTGGGGAGAGCGGGGCAGAGCGCCCCCTCCTTCGGGCCTGGGCACGGGCCCTGCGTCGCCGGTTCCGAAGCAGCTCCGGTCGCGGGCTCTGGGGCAGCCCTTCCTCACCAGAGGCCTGGCGGGCTCCTCCACACAGGCCAGCGGCCGGACGGAGCTCAGCCACTTCCCCCACGCCTGGCTTCCCTGGGGCCGGAGGGCGCCTCCCGCGCACCGGTCTCCGTGGACCGCGGCGAGGGGAGGCTGCATCGCCCCTGCGAGCGCCCCGGGAGCGGCCGCTTCTGCTCTGTGGGCCCGGCCAGGCCAGGCGGAGCCGCTCACTCCGCTTTCGGCCCGTTCGGCGCGTGAACCGGTGCGAACGCGTGATGGGTGCGCGTTTACGGGAGCGGGAGAGGAAGCAGCCGCGGTGCAGCGCACGCACTGGAGGCGTGCGCCTTCATTATTGCCGGGCCAACTCCTGGAAGCAAGGTGATAATGAGATGGCTTTCCCCCGTTAACAGCCGCTGAGCATCTGATAAGACTCTGCTTGCCTGGAAGCGTTCAAGGAGTCTCTAATTGCAAACACATTTGCAAGAGGCGAGTGTTCTTTTTCCCTTCACGTCCTCAGTCACGGCGAAGAAGAGATAAGGGGTGGGCAGGTGTTAATCCGTCGTGGGTCTGATAAAGCACAGGCACTTCTTCCACGGCAGCCTTGAATGCTGATCAAATTCACGGCAATAACACAGTAAAATTTCGAGTTGAAGGACTTCCCCGGCTTGCAACTCTCGCAATTATTCACTTGGCGCAGGAGAGGCCGGGCCGTTCTGCCAGCTGCTGCGCTGGGGAACGGTGGCCCGGCTGCGGTCCCGGCACACATGGGATCGCTCTGCAGAAGGGCCGCTTCTCCCCGCCTGAAGTTCTCCTCTGGTTGTGCAGATCCAGATCACTGGCTCCGCTTATCTGTGCTTCTCTGCAGCTTTGAATCCGCATCCTTGATGCCGGTGCGGTTGTCTGCGTGGCTGCAACTCCCGGTAACATGGTGTTCCGGTGCTCGTTTCTAGCTCGGAGGCTTATGTGGGGCGGGGGGGGGAGCCTAGAAAGGATGTGTGGCTGATTCGAAAATTAATCCGAGCACATCTCCGAGTTAACCCAGAGGGGCAGAGTCCGCCACGGGGCAAACACAACCAAGGAGCACTCAAGAAGGCAAGAACCCACTCAGCTGCGTGTTTATCGGCAGGCAGGCGGGTGGGTGTATTGTAACTCGGTGGGTGAATTGCTCTTTCCAGCATCTCGGCCATAATTGGATTGCTGCCTTAAGGACGCTTTGAGGTTTCTGCCTCTCTTCTGACCTCCAAGTAGGAAGCATGATCCCTTTCTCAAATCCAGTTTTGCGCCACAGGACCCTGGAGGCGGAAGAAGGACTTAGGCCTGAGCCAAACCCACTGTGGTAGCTTGGAAAGGTTTTCAGACAGTGACACCCCCACCCCAGTGCAGGGACTGACTGAGTGTGCAAGGGCTTGGCACACTTATTTGCGTGTTTTGCTCTCCTGGCTCCTGTCGGTGGACCTTGGGCGGCGGCAGCATCCCAGGCCCGACTGGCCGGGCAGGGCCCTGTCCACCCCCTGGCTGACCGGGCTTCCCCACGGGGTGGGTGCTGGAAGCAGCCCCTGCTCCTGCCGTCCGGACAGCCCCAAGCTGCCGGTTCAGCTGGAGAAGAAGCACTGAAAAGCCATGTTTTGTGTTGGTGCAAACTGGGAAAGGAATTTAATCGGGACTCGACTTGGGATGAGCTTTGGGAGGAAGTTGGAGGGCCTGGCTGAGCCAGGGTTTTGCCGTTTTTCCCATCCTTGTTCACAGCGCTTTGTGGAAGGGGCGTCCGTAGCTTGGCAGCTCCCTTGTAGACCCTAAGAGCAGTAT